GATCAACAAACAGAAGTCCATCAGACTGTTATACACATCAGATAGGACCACAGAAGAGGAGATCCTCCCAAAAGGTGGTACCCTTCACAATAGCCAAATACAAATTGAAATATCTAGGGATATACCTGACTAAAAGAATTTCTTGTTTTTGTTATAGGTCTGCTCACATTTTCTACTTACTTGAATCTCTGTCAGTTTAGGTAGGTAGACCTTGTCCATTTCTTTTAGGTTTTCAAATGTGTTGGAGTTCACTCCTTCATAGTATGATGAAAGTATCCTTTTGTCCGTTGCTGTTGTAATGGCACCCATTTCGTTTCTTATTGTGTTGTTTGCATCTTCTCCTTTTCGTTTGTTAGATTTGCCAGTCATTTGTCAATTTTGTTAATCCATTCAAAGAACCAACTTCTTGTCTTTTTGGTTCTGTGCAGTTTTTCTGTTTCATTTATTTCTGCTATTGTCTCTAATATATACATACATCCTCTCTGGTAGTTATAGGCTTACCTTTGAGGAGCCTCTGTTATGCATTGGGCTGCTAACCACATGTTAGCAGTTCAAAACCACCGGTCACCTGTGCAGAGTTACAGTCTTGGAAACCCACAGGGGCAGTTCTACCCTGTCCAATTGGGTCACTGTGAGTCAGGTCAGGATTGCCTCGATAGCAGAGATTTTGGTTTTGTTTTATGGTTCGTTTTGTAATGGGCTTATTGTGCCGCTCTTTTTCTAATTTTTGGAGATGTTGGATTAAGCTGTTGATTTTTTTTTCTTTCTTGTTTTTGATGTATACATATGTTGCTATAAATTGTCCTGCCATAGCAGTGTCCCCAAGGTTTTTCTTTCTCATTTATTTCAAGGAATTTTTTATTTCATTATTTCTTTAATTATCTGGTAGTTTTAGAGCAGTGTCCATGTATTTAATTTTGCCCTTTGACCTTCCAATTGTTGATTTCTAATGTAGCAGTGTTGTGATCTGAGAAGTTGCTTTGTAATCTCTCTGATTTTAAATTTTATTGAAGCTTGCCTTCTGACCTAATACATGGTCCATTCTTGAGAATGTTCCATGGGCCCTGGAAAATAAGTTTCATTGTCTGTTGTTGGGAGGAGTGTTCTGTATATGTCTATATGATGAAGTGGAATTGCTTAATATGACTCTATTAGCAGTATCTCTAAGGAGCCCTGAAGTAGTGTCGTGGGTTGCAGGTTTTGGGCTCCTAACCCAGTGGTTTGAAACCACCAGTTGTTCTTGGGGAAAAGATGAGGCTTTTCACGTTCTTTCATTTTTTGCTTTTCAACACTTTTGTGTGTGTGTGACTTTTTACTTTCATAAAGATTTACGACGTTGGAAACTCACAGGGCAGGTCCACTCTGCCCTAGAGGGTCGCCATGAATCAGAATCCACTCAGTGGCAATGAGTTTGGTTTTTGGTATCCATGTCTCTAACTCCCACCAAATGATCTGGTAGAACTATGCAAATAGGTATGTGAAACACTAATAAAAGTGAGTAGCCAATTTTTCCATTCCTCTGGCTTTAAGAATGAGGTATCCCAGAAGCTAAAGAGCATCCCAGACCCTAAGGAAGACACACCACCAGTAGAGCACAGCCAAGGTCTCTGCCTAAGCTGGAGAGGGCCAGGACCAAAGGCACCAGAAGCTGTGGCCCAGAGACCTTAGAACAGAGCAAAGGAAGGAGACCGTGAAATGCAACAGAAGATTAGTGCCAGGATTGTGAGGCTGGGAGTCAGAGCAGTGGTCTGGCATCCTGGCCTACAGAGGCAGAGACCAAGGGATCACATGACTGGGGGGCTGCGTACTGGAGAGAACGTGTCTGCTGGTTGAAGAGCGGTATTGCTGTGGACCAGTGACTATACCCTCAATGTTTCCTGATCCTAGCTTATGGGAACCTGTGGACTTCGATAATAAACCGCCTTAATCCTTAGTACCGTTTGTGAGCTCTGTGTGACCATTGCCACGGATTATCAGACTCAGCCGAGAAGCAGAGTGTTGATTGGTGTCAGAGCAGGGTGAAAGAAGGGTGGAGAGTGGAGGCATACATGACTTTTGCATGTGGCAATTGGCCTTGGGCTGCTGTGGAGAATCCCTCATCTAGCCAGAGGAAGTCAGATGTGGCTCCTTAGCATTTTCGTAGTCCAAGGGTCACATTAGTTTTTCATGTTGTTTAGCTCTTTTTAAATTGTTGTTGATTTTCTTTCTAATTGCTGTCTTCTTCATCTAAAGTGGCATATTAAAGTCTTCTGCTATTATTATAGAGTTTTCTATTTCTCTCTTCAGCCCTGCAAGAGGTGGCTTACTATATTTTGAGGCTCCATGATTGGGTGCATAGATATTTAGTATGATTATGTCTTCTTCTTCAGTTGTCCCTTTATTCATTATATAATATTCTTCTTTGTCTCTTATGTTGGATTTTACCTTTAAGTCTAGTAGACTAATATTGCCACCTCTACTCTTTTTTTATTGCCTTTTGCTTGATTTACCCCCATCCCCTGCCCCCCACCCTCTATTCTTTGGGTGTTAGTCTATTTTTATGTTTGCATCTAAGGTGTGTCTCTTGTAGAAAGTATTTTGATGGGTTCTTTTTTAAACTTTTAACAGTTGTATTGATGTGTAATTCGTACATCATACAATTCAATAATTTAAACATATTAAGAATTGTGCACTCATCACCACAGTAAATTTTAGAACATTTTTTTCTTGCTTGTACTCATTATTAGCTCCTCATTTTCCCCCAACCTCTCTTTCCATAATTCCAAGAAACTACTAATTCAGTTACTGTCTCTATAGGTTTACTTACTCTGGATTTCACATAAAGAAAAACAGACAAAGGGCAAATACAAAATAATAGTAACAACACTAACAAAACAAAACAGAAAAGCCTCAATTGAAAAGAAAGCAGAAAATAATAAAAACTAGAACAAATTTTAAATGGGTCAAAAGGGAGAACAAAAATTATTTAACTTGAACAAAAGGTGTTAAATTTTAATCTAACTACATCTGCATCGGTCCACTTACCAGTGTACTCTTATCAGCTAACAGGCTATTCACATCCCTGGTCAATGGTCAGACTCACTGGAGGCTTATTAAGGTGACCAGATTTTAACATTGGTAAAGCGGGACACCATTGATAAAATGCATATCCTGGCGAAATAGCCGCATGGCAGCCGAAAACCATATACCCTAGCTTGTCGTGCATTCTTTCCAAAAATCGGGACTTTTTTAAATGCCACAGGACACAGGACAAATTGTTAAACATCAGGACTGCCCCGCCAAAAGCAGGACATCTGGTCACCTTAGGCTTAATCCACAAGGGACCCTGCAAATGGGTATTGGGCTTTCACTGTCATCCATAGCCTTGTGCAAACTGGATGCTCAGATTCTGTTCTGATGCTCTTTCCTCCTTGAGTCTTGGATTTTATTATTTACAATCCTTGGATCACACAGGCTGGTGTGCTACTTGTGTTTGGACTTAGCTGACAACTCACTTAGATTGCTGTTTATTTTAAGACACGTCTTTAGGACCCCCAGCTGCTATTATTTCTGATAGCTGACAGGTGGGTCCTGTTCTCTTATCTACTCTCCTGCTCTTTGTTTCTTGACTGGTGCATTTAATCTGTTTCCATTCAATGTAATTATTGATAGGCACGCATTTGTTGCTGGCCTTTTGTTGTTGTGTGTGGTGTGGTGCTGCAGATTTCTTTATTCCACCTGGTTTTCTGTTCTGAGTTCATTTTGTTCATGGATTTTCTTGTTATTTTAGTGTTTCTTAAATCTCTAGTGCCTATCCTTTTTTATTTTGATGGAGTTTATTAATTTTATTGAGAGTATTCTGTTATTAGTTTTTTCCCAAGTATAAAACAATTTGTTCTATTTTGAAATATTCTTCTCACTTTGAAAGTTCTGGGACTATACTATTCCCTCTATTTTACTTTGCAATTGTCTTCATTACAAATTGAGTCTTCCTGCTTTGAGTCCTGTTTTACTCTGGATACTTTTTTAACTGGATGGACTTCTGGGTGGTGTGTTCATTTATGTTAGTCTCAGTCTGTTGTGTGGCAGTCAGGACACTACCTTGTGTGCTCTGCTGGTGTGATGAGGGAGGTGTTCACCTGCCTCTACACACAGGTGATATCCCTAGTCAATATTCCATCCACTTTCCTATGCTTTTTTCTGAAGATCAGTGTTCTAAGATTGCCATCCATCCAGCTGTTTCATTCAGTTTCTCATTTCTTTATGGCAGAGGGTCTGTGTAGCATATTTGCCTAGTTTGCCATTTCATGGGGGATTTTCTTCAGAGTAACACTTGTGTTTTGAGTCGGTACTATTGTAATTTCTTTGGTCCTAGGACTTTACTGTGAATGGTTGACTCCTGTCTGTAAGGCAGCACACACAAGCACACAAGGCTGTGTGTGACCTCTGAGGTCCCTTGACTTTTACCAGGACCAGTGGGACTTAGGGATGAGAGAAGAATGATACAAGGGCCATGTTTGTAAATAGCTTTAAAGATGTGTGTATATTAATTTTTTTTAATTGTGAGATTTTGAACATTGTATTTATTTAACATTTAATTGTGGTTGGGTGAAAGTTTACAGCGCAAATTGGTTTTCCATTCAACAAGTCTTGCACATTTTGGGGGACGTTGATCAGTTCTTACATCTCCTATAGGTATCTGTGGACCAGACGGCTGTTCCAGTCTTGGATGGCACGAGCTTGGGGCTAAGCACAGGCCAGTCCGTGGACAGAGGCACCAGCCAGACCTTTGGGAACTCCCAGAACGCAGGGGAACAGGCCTTCCCCTCCGCAAACCCCAGCGACAGGTGAGATTCAGAACAGCCATACTGGTGCTGGGGCTGTGGGAGCGAAGTAACTACAAAACTTGCAACGAATGGGAGTCCAAAGCCTGGGTTGACGTTCTGGCTCTGCCATGAATTGTAGTGGACCCCTGGGCAAGTCTGTCCTTACCAGCACTTTCAAAATCCAAAACCAAAGTCACTGCTGTCAGGTCAATCCTGACTCATCGCGACCCTCTAGTACAGAATGGAACTGTCCCTTTGGGTCTCCAAGGCTGGACATCTTTCCAGGAACAGAAAGCTTCATCTTTCTCCCTCAGACCTCCTGGTGGTTTTGAACTACTGACCTTGTGATTAGCAGCCCAACACATAACTCACTATGCCTTGCTATCTTTGCAGCATGATTAAGAAGTTCCCATAGAGATTTTGACCAGCCAGGTGTCATGCAAGAGGGGCTTCAGTAGGTCCAGGCTGAGGCTGCCTTGCCCAGCGTGGTACTCCTTGCAGGACAGCCTGACACACAGTAGCCAGTAGTCACTGATTACCAGTTGGGGAAAAAAACAAAACAAAATATACAATGAATCATTTGTCAACTGTGGGCAAACATGGTCACTCTTCTCTTGTTCAGTGTCCAGAGGGAAAACGTTTCCTTCCCCTCATTTGCTTGAGCAAACAGCTCCAGTTTTTGATACCCCTGTCAAAACCGAGAAGCTTCGTTTTGATTTCCTCCCCAGCCCTGTTTGCTGTACAATGATTCCGCCCAGCCCTCTTGTGCCTCACTGTCCTGAGTGACAGGTCTAAGAAACTTGACTTCAGCCCTCTTGTGCCTCACTGTCGTGAGTGACAGGTCTAAGAAACTTGACTTTTCCTTCCCTGTGCCTGAGAGAAAAACGTTCCCTGGGGCTGCTCACCTGTCTGGAAATCACTTAATTACCTTTGCCATTTCCCTGGAGCCCACTCACTCTGGCCAAGGAGCATGGAGGTGCTGGTCAGCTCAGAAGCAGAAGGAAGTCATGTCTCTGGGAGTCTGTATCTTCCATCAAGCCTGGCCAGCTTTGGGGGCCGGCCGTGGGGGAGGCTGGAGTGGCTGCCCAGGGCATGAGAAAAGCATGCCTCTCACTGCTTCCTCGTTGCTTACAAGGCTAGAACAACAGGTTTTCTTCTGCTTTGGGAAGCAAAAAGGAACCGGAAATGTTCAGACTGGACCGGAAACAACACAGCATGTAGATTAGAAACGAACGAAAGCAGGAGCCATTCATGGTAAAGAAAGGACTTTCTAGGAACCCAGACTAAGCAGTTCAAAGACGAGACAGCCACTTGTCACGGTTCTTGACAGCAAAGACTCAGGCATTCGAAGGAAGATCACGACCCCAAGGACCCTTAAGAGTTTTACAACCTTGAGGTTTTGAAACACTGACCTGGGTCCTGGAGATGGCATAGAGCTAGGAAGGTGGGTCTGAAGAAAGAGAGAGAGGTCCAGGAAGTTTGAAGGGCTTCCATGTGAGCCTCAGAGCTGCCCAGTTTGGTATGATGGTGGCTGTGTGTATCTTGTGCTCAGTAGCTGAGGGTTGAGTGTGTTTTAAGGGACTAGCATGTCCTTGAGGAAGAACTTGACAACAGATGCACATAAGATTTGAGCTCTAGAGTCAGGCTTACTTGGCTTCAAGCCAGACTCTAACACTGCCCATCTTTTTTCATTTCACAAATCCTTGACCTTCTCAGTGGGTTAATGTTATTGTTAGTCCATTTAGAACTCTGTTCACCCAGGCCTGGTGCTCGGGAGAGAAGGGGGATACATGCACCACAGAGAATGGCCCTGCATTCCTTTGCAGGGCAGAGGAGGAACTGGCAGGGAGCTGAGCCACTAACTCAGTGGTTCTCAGCCTTCCTGATGCCACGACCCTTTCATGCAGTCCCTCATGTGGTGGTGACCTCCCACCCATACGATTATTTTCGTTGCTACTTCATGACTATCATTTTGCTACTGT